CTAAAAAGCCCAAAAAGATGACAAATCTCAGTGGCAATTTTCTTATCAGTTGTAAATGGCGATGCCTGCAACGGCATGATATATGACCAATCTGATTAAAACATAGTTCAAAATTTCGTTTTACTTGTCTCCACAACACTAGGATCTGGATTGTTACATAACAGGCGTTCTAGTTTATGTGAGGAATTAGTCAATGAAGCGACCTGTTTCGGCGAGTTCTTGGCGTGCTCCGCACGGAACTGTGAGTAAACCCCTAGAAACGTCAACGCTGATTGATTCATCAATGTCTGATGTCATAGGGTCAAAAGCTGCTCGCTTGACCCCTGACGCGACTTCCCAGTACAACTGATCAGATCTTTGTGTAGTGTAGGCCATCGAAAGTATAAAAAACGAAACGAAATTAGATCTGTATTTTAATCAGATTGTGATATGGCGTAAATATTTCAATTTCTGCAAATTATCGAATATTCGTTGCAGTAATTATACTGATGTGCTGTTATTGGACGATGTTAGGTTTTCATCTGATAATATTGGGTAGTATTTGATAAGTATTTGGTAGTATTGGGTTTATTATTTGCTTATATTGGGTGATACAGGGAGGCAAATGGAACAGCCAGACATCGGTAATGCATTTGAAGTACCCTTTCCGCATATAACTCCTTATTTTTGGAAAAATTCAAGTAATATATCCATCTTGTAGTATTGGGTAGTATATGGTAATATTGGGGTGGTATTGGGTAGTATTGGGTAAATCGTAGCACCCGTAAGCGCTTTCTTACTCGCTGGTGTGTCGAGGCACTATTTCGTCTTTTGGACGCCTATCCTTAAATGGGCTAAATCGCTAATATTTGGGGCCTAGAAATTGACACAAATGGATCACAACGCATATAATAATGTAATATGAAATGTATATAAACCGATTTACATTCAGTGAGAGAGAGAGAGAGAGAGAGAGAGAGAGAGAGAGAGAAATAGGGTTTAACGTCCACTCGACACAAACTAGGTCATTTCGGGACTAACATATGGTTTAATTTTAATTCAATTATTCGCTTGCGCGTAGGGGTCTTTAGCAGTGGGGGGAAACCGGAGGACCCAGAGAAAACCCACGAGGTTGGACAGGCGACCCTACTGCTTGTCACGTACAACCGGGGATTCGAAACTACGCCAGTCGACTCAATGACAGACTTTATGATACAGCCCGCGCACGCTAACCATTCAGCTACCCCCCCCCCCCGATTTACATTCAGTCGTTTCTGTCTTTACTGTAATTTCTAATCAGTTATGTTCGGCGAAAAATGCCAGAAGTTTCAATCGAATGCCAATCTCTAGCGTCTGGTTATTCCAGTCTACACCGATAGTATTTATTGCGCATGCTCTTCAGATACGAATATGCCGTCACCGTTTGACATGATTAGTGGAAAATGCCTAGCCTCTTTTTTCCAATCCATTATTACAAATGGCGCTGAAATGCATTATGGTACACGATTCGTGTACCAATTGTGAAATGTTTATTTTGTCTTCAATATTGGATATCAGAAGCCCACCTTTTCCCGGTAAGATCACAACATCAATGTTGATTTAAATTGACAAATAATTCGTGTTTTTAATGTCGAAGATTTGGGATGATATTGAGTTAGAGACTTAGCTCCTTTAAGTTATAAAACTACACACTTTGGACAGAGTGCGTCAATAGTTTTAAAACAAATAATATACAAAAACACGCTTACCTTAAATGTATTAGGTATATAGAAAATTTATGAAGAGCAACTAGATAGCAACTAGTTGATAGCAACCACTTTAGTTAAACACTAATTAATGTTTATTGTTTGTAACAAGGTTCAGGGTTCCCTCACAATACCTGCTAATACTCTAACACAGCTTACACCAGAATTCATCCGTAATTAAGCTAGCGTTTAGAATAATGTACAAGAGGGATTATAAGACTTAAAATATACAATGAAATACTAACTACATGTATTACACTATGCCCGTGCCATGAGTGGCGCTTAGAATCTTATTTCGAATTCCAACTGTCAATGGTAAATTAATGTGCATGCCAATGTGTTTTTCGTAAAATCTGAACAACTATACGTTATCCCTTGCCAGACCCTCCGTCCTAAATCACTGACAAGGGGGTGGGGGGCACGGAACATTCCGGTGAACTTTCTCGGCCAAAACTGGAATCGAAAACCGGACCTCCAGGTAAGTTAGCTAACGATTTGCGCATGAGCCACAGCGGCCCCCACTTTTGGTTTGAGGGTTACACTCAATCATAATGTTACAAAAGGGTTCACAAGTCACAACATAAGTAATTACAATTTTTTTTAAAATTACGTCATTTCTTTGTAAACAAAATATATCAATAAAAAATAACACGCACACACACGCTGATCATCGATCATAATATGTCAGAAAACATAGGCAAAAATTAAACCTTTTTTCCAGGTCCTAAAAACATGCGAAAATATTAAAACGTTACCTTTTCTCGGTATTTGATTATAATTATTTTCTGATGGCCATATGGTGTTATTATTAATTCAATTCGATCTGTTTACTGGGATCGTAATCAAGAAAATTAACAAAAGAACAATATGCGTTAGAAGGTTAAGAATACACAGAAGCATCAAAAAGGGGGTTTACTGTTCATTTAACCATGTGTCGAGTTGTTCTAATGGATAATCCAAGCAGGGTTTAATGGAAAATAAATCCCCAAATATTTAGGGATTTTGTTCGGAACTATTTAAGAAACATGAAATGGCTGCAACGACTGTAATATGACAAGAGGCAAAGACAGTTAAGTGTTGGGTTTAATTGCCAAAATTTACAGACTAATTACATATATTAACAAAAAAAGTGGGTATGACACCACCCCAGAGGTTCGGGGCATGCACCAAAATAAATAGTTGCTGTCTTTACAATCTATATTTCCACTGGAATCAAATATCATAATGTTAAACGTATACTGATTATAACTGGTTTCAAAATAATAGTTATTTTGCATGCTAAAAATACAGTTTTTTTTTTCAAAAATGAAACTACTTCCGATAAGAATGAAAATGTGAAATTGGTTTTTTGAATTCAGTAATGGCATAAGGCATCACATGGTGAAAATTTTATCAAAATCGAATAATAATTGACACTTTTATAGACCAAAAACCTTGAAAAGTGACTAGTAGAAAATCGTCTATTTCTCTGCAACCGTTCATGTTAGAAACCATTTTGTGGATCAATACGATCATATAGATGTCAAAACAATGCTTCTAGCATCTTCCCTTGTCGAGAAATCCTCAATTTATGTCGGGATCTTTTTATGGGTTCTATGTTAATTATCTATTGTCTGATAGATATAATACAAAGTTCATATATTTCATGGTGCAAATTCTTAACATTTTTGTTACCGATAAAGTTTTCTGTCGGCACCGGAAGTGACGAAAATTTATCAAAATTTACAATTTTGACCAGTCGATCTTTTCGCAAGCAGATATTGATTTTTACAAATCTGATAGATCAAGAAGGATGCCCCTGTGACATGCGCAAAAATGTTGAACTCATTATTTTTTAATTTTGGTCTTGTATTTGCGCCATTTCGATTTAAAGGTAAAAAAGATGTAAAATTAAGCAATTTACAACCCATTCAGCCGTTTCATATTTTAAAATATTTCTATGTAATGTTTATAAACTTGTAGCATATATCTATACTAAGACAATCTATGCCGAAATTAGTTTGTAATCTGAGCAGTTGCCCTGAAATGGGCAATTTTGCATTAGTCACTTTTCAAGTTATTTTGCCTGTAAAAGAGTCAATCATTATTGGATTTTCATAAAACTAACACCATTTGATACATAAAGCAAATGTGCATTATACCAATTTGAGTAGAATTTAAAATTGACACAGGAAATAACGCCATTTTGTCAACAACTGTATTTTTAACCTTCAAAACAGATATTTTATTCAAATGAGTCCTATATGTTATGTTTTTAAAAGTATGATATTTAATTCCATTCAACAAATAGAATGAACCCATACGATCATATAGATATCACAAAATGGTTTCTAACTTGTCAATTATTATTTGGTTTTTATAAAAGTTTCACCATTTGATTTCATAAACCCGATTTAAAAAATTTTTTTTTTACCGAAAGTGACAACATTTTGACAAAAACTGTATTTTTAGCCTTCAAATCAAATATCTTCTTCAAATGAGCGTTATTCAATGTTCCTTTAAATTCATTATATTTAATTTCATCCAACATATAGAATGATTTAATACGACGTTATAGATACCAAACAATTGCTTCTAACTTCTTCCGTTACTGTGAAATAACCAGCTTTCTCACGGTCACTTTTAAAGATTTTTTTTCGCATTTTAATTTCCCATTAGAAAGTCTCATCAGCTAACTTACCGGTAATTTAGTAACCAATTTTGTCAGGATCACTATTTTGACATATGTAACACATGGTAACAAATGGATAAATGTAACTGATTTAGTTGATGCTGCTTCTGTTTTATAACACGTGTGCAATGGTTGTGTGGAAATCTGTTCAACGGTTTCATTTGTCCTGGAAGTTACATAAGTTCACGGGTAACGTGGCAAGGAAAGTGACATAAGTTCAAGGGTAATGTGGTACCGGTTTAGCCCGTCATTACTGCATCACAGTTCTAGTGTTATTTTCAATTATTCGCCTGTGCAACGGTGCCTTTGCAGTTGGAGGAAGTCGGAAAACCCGGATAAAACCCACGGGTTTAGACACATGACCACTAAGCTACCCACAACTAGAAAAGACCTTTACCCTTAACATAACACTTCCTGTTCCAATGAAACTCTACCACCATAATCAAGTATTACAGCTATATGTATATTTCGTGGGGGCCATTCATCGGGCCAAGATCATGTTCCCCCGGACCCAGGCTGTTCCAGCATATTACGAAAAACAGAAGGAAGAATACATTAAACAGATATATTTATTGGACATCAGCAGTTAGATGTTACACATATATTACAAAACAAAAGATAAAAAATAAATCCTATCCCACGAAGTTAGTGGTTTAAAGTTTTGCCATGGGGCAGTGGTGGGAGTGTTTGAAGAATTGGTAAAACTGTCTCACGCTAAATCTGTGAACATGCTACAAACACCAGGGCCCTGTTTCTGGAAATCTTAACTTGAGATAAAAATCCAAATTTTAGTAGATACTTCAATTTTGATTGGCTAAGCACTAAAATCAATCTATTATTATCCCATCAAATTACTAAAATTTGGATTTTATCTTAGTTAAAATTTTGTGAAACAGGCCCCAGGACACATGCACTCTAGAAAGCACCATATAAGGTAAGATTTTAAAAAAAAAATAAATACAAAAAATATCCCGTGCTCTAGGGAGAGAAAACACTCCCAGACCCCCGAGAGTGCGGGACTCTCACCGGCTAAGATCATATGCCCCTGCCCCCAGGTTGCCCCTGCATTTCAGATATATTACATAATATGAATAAAAACCGATATATTTATTGAACATAAAAAGTTACAAGTTACACTTTTATTATAAAAAAAAAAATATCATCAAATTAGATAAATTATATCCTAACTCACTTTAGTTAGTGATGTAAAGTTTTAACATGGCGCAAGGGTGGGAATTGCGTGGGTGTTTCTAGGTGTGTGTGGGGTAGGTGGGTGTTTATTTAATAGGGGTCTTGACAAGCAAACGATGGAAGGATGCGAGCATACCTGTTTTTGTTCATGCCTCGTTCATGACAACTAACCAGGGGTCATTGAGACAACAATATAATAGGGAGGGAGAGGGAAATGGGGTTTAACGTCAACTCAACACAAATTAGGTCATTTCAGGACTAACATGGTTCATTTTTATTTCAATAATTCGTAGCGGTCTTTAACAGTGGGAGAAACCCGTAGGACCCGCAGAAAACCCACGAAGTTGGACAGGCGACCCTACTCCTTGTCACTTACAACCGGTGCATAGAATCCACGCTAGTTGACTCAATGACAGACCTTATGATACAACGCCCAGGCGCTAACCATTCGGCCATCCTACCCCAACGATAGAATACATAGAGGATATTTGTCGTTTTAGAGTGAATAACATGTTTTATTTCATCGAGAAGCAAGAAAACTTATATTTTCACGAATGCGTAGCATGAGTGAAAATATAAACGTTTTCTTGCTTAGAGATGTTATTCACGACAAAACGACAAATGTTCTATTTATTTTATGATTTTACAATCATTTTAGGTAAAAACAACATGGACTACTTTGTCCGCTTGGAGCCAGTGGAATAACACTTTTATTTCACTGATAAAATGCGGTATTCCACTACTGATCATAAAATAAAAAGTGTTAATAAAACTATGTGAACTATAATAAATATAATGCATACAGTGGAAAAAAAAGGATGACGTAGTGGTGATATCATTATGTCATATAATTCAGCTGTTTTAAAAGGGAAATTCGGGATGACCTTTACCACTGAAATAAAGCAAATTATCAATATATACATGAATTGAACCATTTTATGTTTGACCCCAATCAAAAATGAATAATTACCAGCAAGGAATATAACAGAAACATCTACTATCGAATGGTACCGGTAGGAGAATATAACAGAAACTTGTACTATCGAATGGTACCGACAGGAAAACATAACAGAAACACGTACTATTGAATGGTAGGAGAATATAACAGAAACATTAATATTGAATGGTACCAAAAAGTCAAGATATTTAGTTGAATATTTAAGTTTGAAAACTGACAATAACGGCAGTAAAAAAAAACGAAAAGAAAACAAAAAAAACAAGACGACCAGGTTAGTACTATATGGGCTAATTTCCCTCATAGCACACTGCGTGGCAAAACCCCGTCTTTTTAGACATGTTATTTAGTGCAGAACAGTGGAACGTTAAACCCCATGTCATTCCATATCTAGAAATTTAAACATTAACACTATTCCATGTCGCACATCAGTTTATGAGTAGCTTGGCATTAACATAACAATTTGTCAGCCTATCGGGCCAAATATGTATTTTCTGGGGTTCACATGATCATTGTGTTCTATTTAGTGCCAGGTTACCGCCGACGTTCTACTGAACTCTATATATTTCTAGGGGGTTTTGAAAGTCGAGCAGAGTGGACTTTCCTCTAGCTAGAATGTACCGTTAGGATGAACCTGAAATCCGGACCCTCACCTTCCTAAGAGCAGCATTACAAACGTGACCAAAGTAAATAATGGTCGCGTGTTAGCCTCAAAATGACCGAGGTATTGTGCTGTTGAGACGTTAACCTCCATTCATTTCGGTAGCAGACAACTCTCTAATACATGTTCGTTACACTGTGCCAGGAAAAGTTATCTCCCATGCACTTGAGATTCAATTTAATTTATCAATGTTTTAGTAACAGCATACATCAAATAAAACTAAAACCGGCCAGTCTAAGCTGAAATAATTTCGTAAGGAGTGATCAGTACCCTTGAGAAATACTCACAGGTCGTTCTTAAATAATCTGACGTTTTTCTGAAGTCCTTCTATTTGTTTCATTTCAGCATCCGTCAACTTAAAGTCAAATACCTGCAAAATTTCAACCATTCATTGTATTAATAGTAAACGGGTAAGTCCTGTCATATAATGCTTTTGTTGCACCGAGTTGTCAAAATGTAGGGAAATATGAATTTTTACGATTACGAACAGGTACATAGGATTATAGCCCTGCTCAACAATTAGAGAAAAATTAAAATTCGGGATTATAAAAACATATTTGTTTGTACCGTCATTGGTGTAATTTCGTTACATCAATACCTTGACTAAAGAAGATAATTAACAATTCCTGCTCAGATTAATCAGAGTGATAAACAATTTGATTGCTCGATGCTTGTGTAAGTATTCAAATGAGTAGCATTTATTTATTTTGGAATTAAGGCTGTTGACATCAGCTTCACTATTGACCTGTTTATCTGAATACAATATAATTTTACTGTGTCTTAAAATCTGTAGTCAAAATCAGAAACCAAAACAAAAAGACAAACGCAATTGTTGGTTGTTGTTTAAAATGCATTATGTAAGATTTAGATAAAGAGTTGAGCGTTCTTGTTATAAAAGTTCAAAAATAGATAATGAAAAAAGAATATATTGAAGATTTCATTCAAAGTACTTTATTCTGAGCGAAGTTATCACTGTTTTGACAAGATGTGGCATAGATTGTTTATTATCGCAGTAATTGTACTTGCCAATCGAGACTCGGCCTCGATTCACCATTTTTAAATTAAATCATTAAATGGCGATCGTGTTTCAATCCGTTTAAAACTCCGCTATCCGATCGCCTAGATTATAAGTTTGCTATGTGAATAGATGTCTAAATGCCTTGATATAATGAGTATCTCACATATAACTTGGATGGAATTAATGTCAAACCTTGACTTGAATTCAAATTTTGTTTCTGTGATATAGCACTACACTTCTAAATGGGGATTTAACCAAAATAAAGAAACATTTAATTAATCCACCCATCTTTGACAGACAGTTCCGGTATTATTAAAGTAGTTTACCTGCATATTTTGCTTGATTCTAGCTGGTTTAATACTCTTTGGTATAACTAGAATATTTCTTTGGGTCAAATTACGCAACAGAACCTTAAAATAAAAATAAAGAGAACGTTTTAGGAAGCAAAAGGGGTCTATATTCAAGTGTTTTATGTATAAAACTATATATCAATACACTGCTACTGTTTCCTACGTGGATTCCCCTTGTCAGTGGTGCAGGACAGAGGGCCTGACAAGGACAGCTGTCTAGTCGTTCGGATGGGACAGAAACGAGGTCCCGTGCACACATTGGCGTGCAAGTAAAAGATCCCTTGACAGTTGGAATTCGATATAAGAGTAGGCCATAGTGCTGCTGCCCATGCAGGCAAAATTTCCCTCATAGCACACTGTATGACGTATACCCGCCTGCATTAGCCCAGTCGGAGGAGAACAGTAGGACGTTAAACCCCATTTCATTTCATTTCATTTACACTGCTACTGTATTAATATTTACACACGAAGACTTTGAGTTTTATTTGTAGTATTTCCTATGTTGTCTTTATTACCAGTTTCGGAAAACTCGTGGTTCACATGCCAAGTCGTGTACACAGTTTCCGAAGTCAGCTCGTGTTCTTTATACTTATATAATTTAGGATTATAACCGATTCAAAATGGGCATCGCTATAAATAAATAAATTTAATATCTGTAGGAACGGCCTTTATAGTAGATTGCGTAATATGAATATATGAATATGAATCAACCAAAGGGCTCCATATTCCATATTCTTAATTCTTATTAGTTTTTAACTTTATTTCTTAATTCGTATTTCTTCATTTTGTTGTCGTATTTCGAGATACTAAAATTAACATTTGCATCTTAAAATCAACATTTGCATCTTAAAATCAATGTTTGTTTTGCAAATCTTACATGCGTCATATCAGATTTGTATAATGATAAAATTTCTTTTAAATTACATCAAAAAATTACATTTACATTTCATCAGAAACATACAACGGAAAACAAATCTCGAACAATCTTGCAAAATCAATGTCAAAATAACATTTCTCCAATGTCATGCAACCTGAACATCATGGCGACATCGTAGAACGCAAGTGGTGGACTGTGGATTTATACTAAAATCGTTTCAGATGGATAGAAAGACGTATATCGACATTATTTTAATAAACGTTGCATTGGTTATCTAAATAACCGTGCATACCGTATACATATTTTCTTTTGTGTTTTGAGAATGTTATTTTCAAATAAATTCTACAGTCTGGCATGGGACAGCGTATAGTCGTCACATTAGTAAGTGCAGGAGGACCGCACTACACGCAAAACCAAAATCTACAAGATAAACCTGCGTACAAGACAGAAAATAGACATTGCAAAAAATAAACAAATTTCAAATCAAGTAAATGGATTCGGGGGCCATCAGTAAGCGTCCACTGCGTTGTACAGTCCCGGGTCTGTTTTCGTACAGGTTTCAAGTCAAAATGAAAAAAAAAATAAATAAATGATTTACAAAAAAGACGTAACAGAAATAATGCGGCCGATCTTCACAGTGGACTAAGAATTAAGAACACTGAATAAAGAGCTGTTTCATAAATCACAGCGTTTATTATCAGGTACCGTCAGGAGTGGGGCTATTGTCATTGAGTATTGGATCTATAGATAGCTAGAATAGTAAAAGTAGTACCTGTCCAGCAGATTTCTTGTATTTATCCGCCAACTTCTTAATCAACGGATCATCCAATAAAATAGAGTCGGTATCTCTCTTTCTGTAAATAATAACGATTGTGAAAGATGAGGAAAGTCCAAATCCCATTTTCACAATGGTCGCAAAGCACATAATATTATGCTGAGATGCTTAAATGGGTAATTGAACATTTTCGAACGGCTCAATATTTTGATTTGAGAAATTCATGCCATTTCCTTACATGTAAAATTGGATTTTTCCTATATTTAACCCAAACCAATATTCAAATGTTTTCTCGGCTTGCTTTGTTTAGGACCTTTTTCAGAAACCCCTGGAAAACCCATCAATGAACTTGTTTGTGATTTTAATCAATTCTATTTAAGACCCCTTGTCATCATGACAAGCTGTTCTCAATGACAAACCTGTGTGCACCCTACATCAATTGCTTCCTGGATTACTGTTTATGAATGTATTTAATTTCTATCGCTATTGGTTTCAATTCGATGGGGTAGCTATATTTAAAGCGATTCCAACTATATATTATTACTATTTTTAGCAAACATATCAAATCTATTTTAAGGTGCTTACAGCATTTCTGGTCTTCCCGGTGACCCAAGAGATCCATAAGATGTCAGAAGTATGCCTCTTTGTTGACAGAACCGGTGCATGTCAGCTTGATTGAAATAAGCATGGCATTCTACCTGTAAAATAATGATGTAATATACAGTTTAATAACTCATTAACATGAGAGATATATCTATAAAAGCTATTGCTATTTGCATAAACATAAGTTTTACAGATCCACAGTTTCTAGCTTGCTTACCTGTTCAGTCAATTTTAAATAACCATCTTAAAGATACATTGTGTAAGACGTGCTTAATCTGCCTATTGCAGGTCTATATTTTGGCCTATATGTTAGGATGCTTGGCTTTTTCATATTCGGTTATCTGTGGCAATCGACTGAGGCGTGACATTAATATAAGTTATCGTGGTAAAATATGTGGTCTATATCCCTATATTAAACCAGAGTTACCACTTTTCGCGCGAACAAAAGCTGTTTAAGTTTGGGGTTATGTCTAATTGTCTTGGCCATTATTTGTTCATAATTAGATTACTAAACTTTCCTGCACAATGGGGTAGACAATGGATCTTTATTATAGAGCTAATTTTAACGTTAACATAAGATACACAGTTGTTTCTTAAAAATAAGTCATAAAAGTGAAATATCAGGCTTTTTTGTTAGTTTGTTATCGTCGTGGCCGACGAGTAGACCGTTTGGGACTGAGCATTCGAGACCAGGATTAGGTGGAAACTTACCTGATTAGTAACGGGTTTAATGGTTGCAATCTTACAGATTCTATCGATTTGGTCACACGTAAAGTTTGAAACACCGATATTCTTAGCTTTACCTAGCTTGACAGCTTTCTCCATTCCCTGAAAATAGACCATTATAGTAAACTAACAGTCCTTTGTTACAGATGTTGTATTTTGAATTATCAGCTGTATAATTTGAACTCATGGGGCTTAACCCAATCTAATTAAAAACAGTTCCTATTTCATTTCGTTTCTTAAATTTCGTTTTATTTGCCTTTGCTACACTAGAATCTGGCAAAGGGTTGGGTCTAAATATTAAAGCCATCTGCAGATTCAGAGTTGTTGTATAGTCCGCGTTCTGAGTAATTAGCAAATCAAATGGTTCGTGGGACGAGTTCTTGGCATGTGGTGCACGGAACCGAGCGTATGCATTCACAGCGAAGACAAAGCAAAAGGTGTATTTCCAAATAATACAGGTCATCGAAAGTATAAAAAACGAAACGAAATATAGATATCTAGTTTAATCACATTGGGCTTTACCATACATTATTATTAAACATGTGAATCTGACTTTTATTAGTAGCAATAATAAAATTGCGTTTACCACTAAGATTGTAGATGCTGAAATATGTTTAGTCAAGTAAACTCAACAACTGTTTAATTACAAAGATTAGTCCATAACTATTAGAACGATGTATTATAAATTGTGCTACAAACTTTTCCTCATTTCTCATAGCACACAGCATCGTTGGTACTGTTGGGGTAGGAACTTAAGACGTTAAACTCTATATCATTTCATTCGCATTAAGCGTTTGTTTTAGTCTAAAGCTGCGTTCAAACTGCATGCACATTCAATGCGAATTCCGGAGACCGGCCTCCGGAATTCGGATTGTTTTTTCCCGGTTTAAAAGCGGTCCGTCATATAACAGTTTATTCGGAATGAATTCAGAATGAAAAGCGCCACACTGAATGCGCAGTGAGGGTCATTCATATCCAAGATGTATGCGCCAGGCAAGCAAGGCTACATCAGCGACGGCGGGTCTTACATCTTCGACACCTTGCCATGCAGCACCGGGCACGATTTCGTTGGCACCAAAATCAAATGCGAATGAGGATGATTACTCTTTTGGTAGCGTTTGTTATACACGTATGTACATGTACTTCACTCTTGACTCTGTACTAGCGAAGATACATTTCATAATTGAAATTTTATGAAATGGTGTTAAATTTCCTGCTGTTCTGGTCCGACTGGGCTTATAAAGACGGGCATAGACCGAATTTCAACTATCAAGGGATTTTTTACTTCCACGTCAATCCGAACGACTAGACAACTGTCCTGGTCAGGCCCTCCATCCTGCAACACTGACATGGGGAAACTAAACCGGAAAATCACGATGAATGTTTTCGGTCAACACCAGGAGCGAACCCTCGACCACCAGACTAGGGGCCAGCTTCTCACTCACTGAACAATAGTGGCTCCCATTTCATAATTCAAATCCTTTCAGCACTAAACATACGTAATGTAAAGCAATACATTTTGTTGTCATTTTTATCCAGCTATATGCAATACATGCTAGAGACTAGACTCGAGACGACTAAAGCTTACCTGACGTGAATGGTCAGCTGTGATATGAACACACCTATCTTTGTATTTGGATTTTTATATGCCCACATTGAAATGTGGTCATATATTGTAGTCGCCCCCGTCCGACGCGCTAGAGGCTAATATTAATATCTGATTGACTTTAAATTTATGCACAGTATTTAAGGTCATGGATGAAGAGGAAAATTGAATTTCAACAATTTACGATAATTACTGCCAGAGTTATGGCCCATGATATTTATGCACAGTTTTTAACTTCATGGACGAAGAAGCCAATTGATTTTGAACGATTTACGATAATAGCTGATTATGTTACCGCAGTATTTGTTTCAGTGACGAAGGGCTACAGCTATGTAGGCTTCACCCCAACATGCGCGCATAGTTATCGTTTCCGGTAAAACTGTTCCGGGTTGAATTCGGAAAAATATACGGATTCGTTAATTCAGATTCAGTTCGGTTTTTTCGAATTGAGTCTGACGCCAAAGTCCGGAATAAGACTTTAATCTGAATTCAATTCAGATTAAACCCCTAGTGTGAACACAGCTAAATGTATCAGAATTCAGATTCTTTCCGCCTATTTATTAATTTACACATTTTCAAATCAGAATACGGTTTTGTTTTTCTTTAGATTCAAAATATCCACAACAGAACATTTTTGTTCTTTTTTTTTTCTTAAACAAAAAATGATTCAGACAGCTATATTCTTGTGGGTTTTTGGTATCTATAAAGAGAATGCAGGAATTACAGCCACGTCTAGTGCAACTTAAAGCACAACAAATATACTTACCTCCCAGGTTTTTTCAGGTGGGAGATTCAGAAATGCTGGTGTTCCATCTGGTTTCAAAGGATAGAAACCGGTTCCTGTATCCTAATAAATTATAATCAAACAAACCAGTATTATACTGAACAGTCTGTGATAAAATAATTGATGAACATTAAACTAATTAGTAATTATCACTGTCAGTATCACAGTGACAAAGAGTATATAATTAGTTAGATCTTGTGTCAGTAACACAGTGGTCAATAGTGTATAACTTAGTAGGATCTCGTGTCAGTAATACAGTGGCAATGAGTATATAATCAGTAAGATTGTGTCAGTATTACAGTGGTAGAGAGTGTATAATTAGTAAGATCTTATGGCATTATGTGGTAAAGAGTATATAATTAGTAAGATATGGTAAATATGTCAATGGAATAAAAAGAACATGAAACAGTACATGAAGCGAGGGTTGGTTCTAGGAAACATGAGATATGTGCGAGAAAATTGGTTACAACAGAGACTTCCCTTTAAACACCCAAAAGGTTTACATATCTATACCTTTTCGTACCACGTCTTTACCGTATCGTATACTGTTTTTACCTGACCGTATACTGTCTTTACCTTACCATGTATATCAGAGAGGTCTAAATACCCTGTGTGAAATTGGTCCTACAGTCTCGTCAGAATGAAATTCATATTTGAGAAGGGGAGGGGGCTGCGAAATGGGGCCCAGACGAGTATGTGGTATATATGAGGTACAAGATAAGAATTCGGCCCATGTTGTGGTAAAATATACACTGATCTTAACTTTATCACAAGACAAGTTGCTTGACTTACCTCAAAAGCACAGGGACCATGAATAAGATACAAATCAACATAATCTAGTTTAAGATTAGCTAAAGATATGTTCAGACATTCTATTACTCTTTCTGGTTGATGGTGGGTTAACCATAACTAAACAAAAATAAAGATACAGGTATTATAACTTTAATTTATATTTTCAGTTTACCTGGCTGTGCTATCAGACTTAAAGATGTTAAATATTCCAAAAGTTATCGACAAGTTAAGGTTGCAAATAGATATTGGATATGTGAGTCTATTCACCAATGGTGGAGCAGACCAAGGTTCATTTTGAGCAAAGGCCGAGAAAGAAAACATGAAAACATAATATTACGTTTTGATGTCTGATCTGAAACTTTAATTCTCAGGTGGCTCTTTTGTTATGATTGGTGATGAAATGTACTACTGCCAATGTTGTTTAGCAGAATTCGCATCGTGTAGACCCTGTAATACACATAAGGTCGCCCCCCACCTCCCCACCTCATCTTGCTTAAATTAAGTGCAAGCAAGCCATTAGAAAAATAATGTTACATTCATGTGAACAGGCCTTCTTACTACCAACCTATTAGGAAATATAGAAATAATCATGTGGGAGTACTTCTCATTTATGTTAATAATTCAATATCGTTCAAACACAGGGCTGACTTGAACATAGTGAAATATAATCTATACAGATAGAAGTAAATAGTAACTACCTAAAATCTTTACTTGCCAATTATTATAGACCACCTTCATCAACTTCTAGTACAACCCAACATATTTCTAACTCTTTTAAAAACGCTCTAAAGGGCCCTTTGGGCATATGTTATACACCACCTTCATCAACTTCTATGCATAACTTTATGTGATCTTATATGGATATGTTTAAAAAATCTAAAAGTTTTATTGACGATGCGATTAATGTATTTGATCTTACCGCGCTACCCATTATTCTTGCAAAACCCACATTTCTTTAATAGACCTGATGTGTACTTGATAACTTCTGTAGTGACCACTGTCCAGTTTATTGCAAACTATCATTTAACCTACAAAAGCAACGCAGCTTTAAGGGAGCGGCATTGAATTACGATATCGCAAACCTTGGGTGTATAAGAAGGGGCGTTATAGCTACTAAATGGTACAATCTTATAAATATTTCAAATTTAGAAGCATTATTGTGTGTCCAATTTACAAGCTCGTTGATCAATATAGCAAAAACAAATTTACCAGGCACATGATAAGCCCTGGATTACTGGCGCAATAAGACGCACGAAAAAGAAGAAAAAAAGATTACACAAAAAAGCAGTGAATAGGAATTTAGACTCTGATTGGCATAACTTACGGGAAATTATAGACTTAATCAAAAAAAGCAAAAACGATTAAACACAATACACTGTTCTTTTGTTCTGCCACTAACAAACTAGAATCCCTTCAATTAGATGTACTCCGTAACATCTGTGGGTACTAGCCATGTACTATAAAGAGACTGGATTTAGTCCACGTCATAAATTAAAATTAATATATAAAATTAGTCACAATGTCGCGCCACCATATCTCGCTAACCTTTTAGAACCTTCCGTTACTCCTAGTAATTATACCCTTAGAAACAAAGATAAAATAAAAGAAATCAGATGCAGACACTTTCCTCAAATCTAGTTACGTTGGAATTAGTAACACTAGATCCCTCACTATCTTTGGAAATTTACCAAAAAATTAGATACCACCGTACCACCATATTACTACCTTGGGAAAAGAACATTACAAAAAATGCACTGTAAATTAAGATTATCCTGCTCAAATCTACAAGACCATAAATTTCACACACGTCGATGATATTTGCTCATATTTCCCTTAGATTCAGATGCAAGAAAATAAACAATATAATTATAAAACTATCAGTTGGCTGTTATAGGGCTCAAGTATAGGCCAGAGTACGGAGGCATCTGCCGGGTGGATGGGATGGCCTGGTCGTCTAGAGTGTCACGCTTCAACCTCTAGCTTGCGGGTCACCTCTGGCTTGCAGTTGTGGTTTCGGTTCCCGGTGTGAGCGTATGTGGCTTGGAGATAGGGGCGCCTTCTCTACCTCGTTTGCACAGTCTACTTCGGTTTCCTCCCACAGAAAAAAGATCCCTGCGCGTGTGCTAAGATAATAAAATGAAAATAAGGCAACTTGTCTGCGATATCACCTTCTGTGGAAGCGGACCCCAGGACACCCCTATCTTTCCCCCGCAGCTGGTTTGTGACATTTGAAAGTGTGCTCTGCAGGTCTTACCATACCCAATATCGAATACCAAACAGTACTTTCATAATAAACTACTACCTATTAAAATAGCAATAAAGAATTGTCTCTATATTCCATTATATGCATCCTATATGTTGTATATATGTAATTATGTTTGTATGTACGTATATATACTGTATATATACTGTGTACATGTAATTATATAAGAGAGAGGAGGTACACATAGGCATAGCCTGTTCCCCAATATAAATTCAGATATTTACTGAATAAAAATAGTGTTTACAAAACTTTACGGGAAGGGTTTGGTTTCCAAAGATAAATGTTAGTGACCAACCCGATTCGTCCCAGAATAATAACCCGAAGATCGATCTTTTGATTAATCACCTTAGTTGTGATGTAGAAATCTGATCTTTTAAGTTTTCCCGCCTTCATATATTCCTGTAGAACCTCTCCAATATCAGCCTCGTTTCCATAAGCATAGGCCGTGTCAATATGGCGATAACCTGCATCTAAAGCAGTACGAACAGAATTCTGGCACTCTTCCTTGGTAGCCTGAAATGATCATAATATTGTGAGCATGGCGAGGGTTGTATTACTTTATGTGAGGGAGTTATGGTGCTTTATGTGACGGGGTTATGGTACTTTATGTGACGGTGTTATGGTACTTTATGTGACGGTGTTATGGTACTTCATGTGGGAGCTATGGTACTTCACGTGGGAGCTATGGTACTTTATGTGAAGATGTTATGATACCTTATGTGACGGTGTTATGGTACTTTAAGTGTGTTATGTTACTTTATGTGAGAGGGCTATGGTACTTTATATATATCTTTATTTCCTCCAATTCTGAAGATTTTCGAAAATAATTACACAATAAATACATAATGAATACATACATACGATTATAAATATAAGAGATTATGTTTGTTGAATATTTATATACTTTCACCAAAAACTATTACCAGATGCATTCCGGTGTGTACCGAGAAGAACCTTTGGGATTTTTCATACCCGGTTCTCACTTATTGGGTAAGAGTCTGCGCAGCTCACACTACATAGTCCTTAGGATGGAACGAAAATCCACATTGCCCCACCCCACACGCACCTCTCTGTGCATATACAGAACTATAGTGCAGGTACGAGAACTCAATAACGAGGTAGATATTGCGTTAAGAGGTGGTTCTCTATGAGTTTTGCCAGTGGAAACAAATACAATACAATATACGCTTTACACAGTTGGGGCTTATAATGATCAGACGAATCGCCGAATCATACAATGCAAACCGACCTATGCAAGTTTCTAAAAAAAGCTCTGATTCCATGATATATTTGTTTGAATTTTGAAAAAAGTCCAAGTTTTCGTCTTAGGTCCTATGCAAAAAAACGAAAACTCTGATGTTTTCCCTAAATCTGGGACCTATAATCCAAAAGTCATATCGGTACCTCTTCTCTCACAGCTCTACGGGGCCCGAGTTTTTCATACAAGTGATGTGGCTGAACGATAGGGTTTCTCAAACCGGCTATCCACCAAAATACTCACTCAGTATCAAATTAGAAAATAAAATTACCTGCCAAGTTCCAAGTCCTAGGATAGGGAATTTGTTCCCGTTGTTAAATGTTACCATTGGAATCGCCATCTTGCTTCAAGGACCTGATACCCAGTGACTAGAAACAGAAAACAACTATAAAATATACAGAATAAAACGTGGTTTTCTCATATTGTGAGTATAGGTTAATGTGTGACAAAGTACTCTATAACTTTCATCAAATTGAACGATCATTTAGGGGCTTAGAACGTTATGACCTCTGCTGGTTTTTGATAATATATGATATTGACGTTTCAACTCTGTATAAAAGTCTGTTAAGGCACGAACTGGCTATGATATAATTAAACATGTAATTAATTCAATATATCATTTACGGGCTGCACATGATTTGTGTGCAACACTCGGCAGGACAACAAAGAGAATGTACTAGTGGTCAGTGCATCATACCATGGCCTGTTAATGACTTCAAAGGAAATAGGCAGTGCAATTACAGGTATCATAATCTGATAAATAAACAATACCATATATGATGATCACTCTTTTCCATCTTCCCTAATTGTCGTACGCTATATAAGCAGGAGTTTACTGACAGTAAGTCAGACTTGGAATACTCCCGATTTATGTCTATTTCATGTTCTCAATAAAGGTCTTATCAATTATGCTGATATTCTGTCATCTGTAGTGTTACAAATGGGTGTATTCGCCATTTGCTCACAAATGAAAAAATCACCGGGGCGATTCACTCAGGACCTGAATCCGATGGATAACGCCATACTAAATTCGCTATAGGTAATTAAAGATATAACACAAATTATCGGTCATTTAAACGAGAATTCGTGTATAAATATTATCTAACAATATTGACGTGGTGTCTTAGGAACTAACTCCATTGATACATGTGTGATATACCTGCCAATAATTTGAAAATCTCTTTTATGGCAATACTATGTCTTTTTGTGTATTGACGGATACCAAAGTTTGTCATTATATAACCTATCGTTACTTTCTATTGAAAATAAATCACTGAATTGATTGAATATACATGCTAGTTATGACTTCATTGAGAGAACGTATCGTAATTATAGAACGATCACGTACTGAATTGATTGCGTGTATTGGTCTAGTTATGACTAAGCCTACATTCAGTGAACTCATCATAATTATAAACTGAACTACTTTGTGCCGTACGCATATCGAACAATTTTATATTGCCCTTGTTCTATAATATGTGTAGTTTAAACATACATTATGCAAGAGCTAAATCTGCAAATTGCAGGTCTTTCTTTAGGCCTGAAGAGTGAAATGTTATCTAAATAAATTATTATTAATTAGACATTAATTTACTTATCCAAACCATAATCAACTCTCGATGTCATCGCTAGCCTGTGATATTTACTGGATTATAATCCGATCTGCTGTTCAACGCTCATTTATGATTAAATACAAAAAATGGATAATCGAGACTATGTTTTTTTTATCGTACCGACTTTAGTAATGATGATCGAGGCTAGGCCCAAAATTCAATCGCTAAATTCTCGGTTCAGAGTGGTTCAATTTTCAGCAAATTCCCTTTACATTATCTAGTTTTTAATTATTAGAGTGAGAACTGCCAGCTCTTTATCTAATCTTCCATAATGTATCTTTAATGTCGAGTGCGAGACTCTGATTATATTGATATTGCACAAGTGCTATCAATCTGTTTCACAGAGAATTACGAGTCTAGTGATATATCTCTGTCAAAGATGACTGCCTTAACACGTGCTGTCACAGCACGCGGCGTCAATCATTGGCTGAATGGCGCGTACATTGTTTACATAAGACGTTACTGCTTCGGAGAGAATGCTGCATTTTAGTCATTTTAATACCCATTTACACTAAATAGGAAATAATTTTTACCTACAAATACGTCAAACGCCTTTATTTATTTTTCCAATACATAAAAAAATGTTTTAGAATTTAATTTGTCGCAGGAAAAAAGTTAATATTTCTGGCTCATTAAGCCGCATCGATGTCATCCTTATCAGTGATTGTAGCGGCCTAGCAAATATTCACTGCGGATCAGTGTGAAGTGCTATATCTTATATCTATTATATTACGCAATGCCTTGCACGAGACCATTAAACAACTGAAAATACAGACACTATCCAGCACGTGCATTTCAAGGAAATACGTCACGCGGGTCCAATATTTCAACTAGTATAAATAATGTATGCTTGACACATTGTCCGTACTATTATTTACAATAATGGTACGCCAACATTAAATCATTTTAATATCAGTGCAGCCTTCCGATTTCTTGAAATTATGAATGAGTTTTGTAATGTTTTGATCACAGATTCCAGAATAAAAACCATCATAGCTTTTAACAACCCATTACCTATATATGGTATTTAGGTCATGAATACTATAACGTATCTTCTATTGCACTCTGTTACCCGGGTTTCAACAAAACAATTCACAAACATCCCACCAATTTGCACGCGTAGTAGGAATACACGTGGCGTTTCAGGGTGTTGAATGCGTCGATCTTTTCAAAACCCCATTTTCATGTTTGCAAAGTTACTGGAAGTCGGTCATTTTCTACTTTAATTTTATAATTTCCTATGCCGATACATTAGCCCAGATCTACAGAAATGACATTTTTAACGTAGATGTTTAACTTCTCAAAATGAAATCAACAGACCGGTTCTAATAAAATATCACCTGCATAACGCTTATAGTCCAGCCATCCTCAATAGCCCTGTCAGTGCAGAAATGTCGGATCAAGGATAACACAGAGAGAGAGAGAGAGAGAGAGAGAGAGAGGGGGGGGGGAACGTCCACTCGACACTAGGTCATTTCGGGACTAACTCATGGTTCAATTCTATTTCAATAATTCGCTTGCGCGTAGGGGTCTTTGACAATAGGAAGAAACCGGAGGACTTGCCCAGGCGACCCTACTTCTTGTCACGTACAAGCGGGGAATCGAAACCACGTCAGTTGACGCTGTGGCAGACCTTATGATTCATCGCGCACGCCATCCAACCCTCCCCCCCCCCAAGAGTAACATAATTCTTACAACTTACCTGTATCAGATGTAAACAGACTATGACTTAAATTAAACAAAAATGTCTTCTATTTATATCCCCGAGACAGTTCAGTAAAATAACCATGACTCGGCATGAATTTGACCTAGACTCTTTTATTTGTATAGCCATTATATTAGCCCTTGCGTTATGTAGACTTACGTTCGGAGACAGCTAAGCATTCAGTACTCTGTGATTACATACTATTTCTGCTTAGCAACGCTTGTCTTTGTTTTATGATTATTGAACTTTGTTTTCAATGACAAGCGTTAATTTCTACTCAACGGTATTTATTTATTTATTTATTTATGTTTGTTGTTTTCCACAGTTCTTGTTTTCCCCCTTATTAACAATTGGGGGTTTTCGTATAGATTAAACTCTAAAAGATACTATAGTAAATAATACATGCGACTGTATAGGACTCGCGAAAGACACACATTAGGTCGAAAATATCAACGGATTCGGATTCAGCGTCGAATTTTGCCTTAAGAAACACTTGTAGTGAAGAAAAAAGTATATTTACCCTACCCTAGTTTTAGTCATCAGACCAAACTAATTTTACTATACCTACCAAAAATATGATATAAATGTTTGGATCTTTCTGGGATCTTCTAAAATAATTATTACTCATTATCACATGGTCTCAGTTTCTGCACAATCATCACTATTTACCTCCACGTCTACGAATAATACGTGTATAAATTGAGGGGAGTGTTACATCATAGTGACCTACATGCTGTCATCCAAAACAAGGCCTTCCTTCTAGGTGGGGTCTTTATCGGCTATGTACCTTCTTAGTGCACATTCCATTCATCGGTGGCTTCAACACAGTAACATTAACTAAACAAAATTCAAGTATTATTGTTTTAATCCGGTGGCTGAAGTGGGGGGGGGAATAGCCACACGAGCTGTGAATTTATGAGACCAAGTTTTTCTAGGCCATTTTTTTTTAGTAGATTCCGAATCTGGATGGTGATCATGCGTATACCATTACCATTGTATGGGGTGGGGGTGGAGGGCAAAATGTATTTTTGGGGACAGAAACCACTTGGTTCAAAATTTACCTGAAAATTGACCTGGGTGCTACACGAAAAAGCTAAAGAGAAACCACTTTTAAGCTCAATTATGAACCAAATGATTTCTGTCCAAAAAATACATGTTACCCCCGCCCCACGGGAACCCACCCTGGCGCCCACCCCCACGTGGGAATCTTATAAACCTATTTAGAGATGTTTCATCAAGCTCTTCTTCTTCTTCGTTCCTTGAGTTTTACACCAACTTCCACCATGGATGATATCGTAGGCAAACATCAAGCTCAAAGAAAATCATTATTTAAATCAACGTCAACTCATTTCCCGCCAATTTTACGCCCCCCCCCCCCCCCGCCACACACGCACACTTGCAATCACCCACCCCACCTCGCCACAAATGAAAACAGCTGTTCAGAGGCATCATAAACACTTATTTAGAAATGGGCAGTCCTAGAAATTCATGTTTTATGATCATCATTTATTCCATTTACTGGTATGTCAACATAATGACATTTTCCACCAATGGTAGACAATGGCCCCCCGCCCCGCCATATTTCGAAAACGCCCCCTCAAACGCCTGATCACTACCCAGATTCGGAATCTACGCAAAAAACTGACTACTTCCTCCTTAATCAATTAAGGCATATAAAATTGACAGTTGTTGCAATGGTGTTTAACGTCTTACTTTTCTACACCGACTGAGATAATGAAGACGGGTCTACGGCATGCAGTGTGCTATGATGGGAATTTTGCTCGAGCAGCCGGGTTATGTCGAATTTGTATAGGTCATAATATGTTATTTCATTATTGTTTAATTCTATTTTTAATTTCAAATCTATATTTTTATATTCATTAATGTTTGGTTAGTCATTAGAAGCAGAAAACAATGAATTTGTCACTCGATTTAAATTATGACAGGCTGGCAAATAAAGTGGTTGATCTGTTCAGTTTCTTTTACTATTGTTTTAAATGGCTTAAGACTTAATCCTTCAATAATTATATGTGTATGTCAACACTTTCATAGTAACTAATTTATATAAAAAGACAAATGTATGTAGGATGAATTATACATGTAGTTGGAGAGACCAGCTAATTAGTTGGAGGACCGATTTATAGGAAGTTATAAGTTGTTTACTTGTTGCTGTTATTTATTTGCTCCTGAAATAAAATGTTGAAGATCTATTCGAAGAATCTGTATTCATTTCCGTTACTTCGAGGACACACTCGACGAGATACACTCACTGAAAGTCGAACCGTGTTATGAGCTAATAAAGTCGGGCATACTGTTACATATCGAATTCCAACTGTCAGGTGATCTTTTACATGCATGCCAATGTGTACACGGGACTTTGTTTTTTTTATCCCATCCGAACGACTAGACAGCTGTCTTTGTTGTCAGGCACCCCGTACTGCCCCACTGACAAGGGGAAACCACTCGGAAAATTCTGAGGAACGTTTTCGGCCAATACGGGGGAACGAACCCGCGATCTCCAGGCTAGCGAGCAAGCGTCTTACTCACTTAGCCACCGTGGCTCCAGGCTACTTATTGTTATCTTAGTTCACTCCCATTAGTGCTTCATAAAATATGGTTCTCCAACTTCAAGTCAAGCGACTGCTTTCTTCGACTGAAGTATACACTGAAATATTCAACTTGACGAGGTCACAAAAAAAACCTGTCTCGTCCAATACCCCAGCCCCTGACTACAGGCATATGTAGGATTCTATTGACTTAGATGACGGGGCCAAAAACATTACCGGTGCTTAATATTGAGCGACTGGTTTTATCGACTGGGATATTTGACTGTTTTTTCGCTCGGATTATTCAACTGGTTTTATTGACTGGATTATTTGACTGTTTTTTTCGACTGGATTATTCGAATGGTTTCGAATATCTCAGTCGATAAAACCAGTCGAATATCTCAGTCGATAAAACCAGTCAAATACCCCAGTCGATAAAACCAGTCGAATATCACAGTCGATAAATCCAGTCGAATATCTCAGTCGATAAAACCAGTCGAACATCACAGTCGATAAAACCAGTCACTGAACCTGATGGTGAAAAACTGAAAACAATACTCTGGTGGGATTAAACTAAGATAGTAAAATGTAGCACAGTTGTATTTAGATAAATCCACAAACATGGTCTTCATCCCAGATCAAGTTGACAATGTGCTTTTGACAGTTTAAATAGGCACAACCACTGGCTGAATTATTAGAGTTATTTGATGAGAAGTTTTCTTTCCACTGAGCCCAGTCGAATATCTGAGTCGATCAATAATTAGCAACAATGTCAGTGAACTAAGATAATATCGAGTAGTCCAGTCATACCCATAGCCATAGCTGTAAAAGAGCCGGGGGGTTTGCACCCCCCTCCCCTGCCAAATAGTTTCAAGTTCGATTTATGGGGCAAAAGTAGTCTGACAATTAGGTGTTTAGGCCGGGGATAGTACCCCCCCCCCCAACATGCTATGTCTGAATTGAGTATGCTCATAGTAAGGGGATGGGATTAGGGCTATATGATATCGATAAAACCTGTCAAATAGCTCAGTCGAATAAATCAGTCAATAAAATCAGTGAAATATCTCAGTCGAAAAAAAAACAGTCAAATAATCCAATCGAAAAAAACAGGCAGATAATTCAGTCGAATAATCCAGTCAAATAATCCAGTCGCTCAATATGACGAGGAAAAACGTAAAGTTTGACTTTATTAAGCAGTGGTGGCAGTAACTAAGATTACAACATGTAGCCTACTCTTCTATAAATCCCTCCACGTCGTGGAGCGACTAGATACTATGCCGTCATCAGTTTTATGCATCGGACACAGACTAAAAACAAGTTGTTTATAGTACGGCAATTTTTTTCAGTCGTTGACCCTTAACCCTAGATGATAGATACATAGATAGATTTTATTGTATCTAAACACCCCATTAGAGGCAGCATACAAATATCCACATAACATTTTACAAAGAAAATAAAAAAGCATCAAAATCATTTATGACAGGCTAATAATTAAAATTAAAAACAAAAACATAGCATGCAAATGTTTGAAAATATAATAAATATAGATTGTCAGGCAACGAAACATACCCCCAAAGCAGCTATGTCGTTAGGGCAGTCAACAAGAGTTGTCGCATATTTCTCCGTTTGTCGGTAATGGAGCATTTACAATACACTTAAATATGACAAGAGCAACAACCCATCAAGTAACAAATGGAAAATCATTAGAACTGTTTGGCTTCTGGTTCTGCCCCATGGTAATGTTTAGTTTACAAAGCCAAAACACTAAATATCATGGATTTAACCTGTTCCAAGTTGTCAAAAATTATAACTTGTTCGTCTCAAGACCTTAAAAGCTGTGTATCAATCCCATGTCAACTGAATGATTACTTTGGTCCGTAGAGCATCCGCAACATTTTTGAGGTAATCAAGGGTTATAACTCTGGCAGAATTATCGGAAATTATGTTTCGAAAATCGTAATTGAAAATTGCTAGGCTTCTTGGTCTCATGACCTTAATCACTGTGTATAAACCTAAAGTCAATCGGATATTTCTAGCACGTCCACAAGAGATTTCAAAGAAATCCAGGTCGATATGTCTATTAATAATTATTGGAAAACGTTGAAAATCAGTAGGGTTTTTACACATGACATTTAGCACTGTGCATAAATTTAAAGTCAATCGGATATTAACTTTAAAGATGGGTTCCCAGAAAAGTATTTATCGGGTGGTTATTTACAATAAGGTATGGTAATTTTGGTATTTATGGAAAGTAGAGATATCCAATCTTGATGTACAAGTTGATAAACTTTATGAAGAGTTGGACGTACAACATTTTCGGGGATAAAATTGACAGAAAAAGACGCGGGTAGTGGATAATCCGAGAATTTAATTAGGATTCGATATGTACATTGGCGTGCACGTAAAAGACCCCTTGACAGTTGGAATTCGATATAAGAGTATGTTGTAGCGCCGCTGCCCGGGCAAAATTTCCCTCATAGCACACTGTATGGCGTACGCCCGTCTTCATTAGCCCAGGTTAGGAGCAGAACAGTAGGACGTTAAACCCCATTTTATTTCATTTCATTTCCCGTCAGACCGGGGTGGCATTCTTACTGCGATGCTGCGATCGTACGGCGAACAGAAAATGAACAAGCTCGCCTGCAAACGTGAACACAACACGAGATAATTACAAACTCAAAAAAAGTCGCGTTCTCACAGCTTTCCGAGTCAGATCACAGAACCTTGCCGTTTGTTTTGAACATGGTCAAAACAAACGCCGTGACACAGCCACCATGGAGATATCTAGCGTTTCCACCACACTTTTACCACTCTTATGGCGACCTTGACGCGCTCTGAGACCATTTTCCGTCGCCGTAGCAGCGCAGTAAGGACGCCACCCGGGTAATCAGAAAGGTGTCTCTGATTGGCCAGCATTAACCATTTATAACAACAATTTATACTTTATCCAAACACAAAACAAAACAAAACTGGGGAGAGTCATACACAAGAAAAACCAAAAAACTCTTAAAAACTGTTCTCCGGTACGTTCCATCAATTACAAAGTTAGTTAAAATTCCTTTAATACGGTTCACAACTTCAGCTATGTGGCTTTTTACTGTGAGCACTTCGCTTTTCCACATAAATCAAGCGGATTCTTTTTCCACATGGGTTTTTGTTGATCCAACTGATGACAAAGGGAGAAGATGACCCGTCCTCAGTGTTTTAAGGTGACATTTTGATATACAAGGACTTTGTTTATTTTGTGTTTTTACCAATTTCCAACAATTTAAGTGTAAATAATTTAATTAAAACAACCTGTCTATAATGTCATATTTAATGTATTGGACGTTAAACTGTAATAAATAACAACAACATTTATATTTTATTATTGCTTGCTAATGACTAGAGAAGCCTAGTCTAAACGTCAATCAGTAATTGTATTCCACACAATTGTGACTTGTAAATTTAATATTTGGGATCTAGAAATTGACACAAATGGGTCGCAATCCACATAATAATGTAATACGAATGTATATAAACTGATTTACATCAATCGTTTCTCTTTTTAATCGAATGGCAATCTCTAGCGTCTGGATATTCCAGTCTACACCGAGATTATTTATTGCGCATGCTCTAGATAAAAATATGGCGTCACCGTTTAACATGACTTGTGGAATATGTCTAGCCGCGTTCTTCGAGTCCCTTGTTAAAAATAGCGCTGAGACGCATTATGGTACACAATTCGTGTACTAATGGTAAAATGTTTATTTTGTCTTAAATATTGGTTATCAGAAGCCCATCTTTTCCCGGTAAGATCACAATATCAAGGTTGATTTAAATTGACATATAATTCGTGTTTTCAGTGTCAAAGACTTTGGATGATATTGAGTTAGAGACTTAGCTACTTTAAACTTCATCATCGTTGTAGACAATTTTAAGGAGACATCTGCGATGATCCTATATATCATGTCTTATCATATATTGAGGTCAATCGTAGCAATCGTGTTGATCGTATTTAAACGTATCCGAACGCTTCTGCACGTACCGGATCGTGTACTCAATAGGGAAAATTCACTCGTATCACATCGCACGACAGTGGGAGAAAGAGAGAGAGAAATGGGGTTTAACGTCCACTCAACACAAACTAGGTCATTTCGGGACTAACATATGGTTTAATTTTATTCCAATAATTCGCTTGCGCGTAGGGGTCTTTAGCAGTGGGGGGAAACCGGAGGATCCAGAGAAAACCCACGAAGTTGGACAGGCGACCCTACTCCTTGTCACGTACAACCGGGGAATCGAAACCACACCAGTTGACTCAATGACAGACTTTATGATACAGCGCGCACACGCTTACCATTCAACCATCCAACCCCCTACGACAGTGAGAACCTAGCATTACGTGCAAAAGAGTTGCTGAAGTTGCCTATCAGTTGATGGACATTTTTCTCTTGTTTGATGCCCCCCCCCCCCAGATTCTAATTAGGCGTTTGGCCAAATGTCTGATATAAGCAGTTTCAATATATATAATTATACATGTCACGATGACAATACAAAGGTATATACAAATATGTTCCCAATAGGTGTTTAGTTTGATTACGTAATTCGATACTTTGGTATATATATTTTCCTAAATTGATTATACATTTTCGTTAAAATATTTTTGAATTTATGTAAAGAAGAAAAGGACCAAGATCTACGATGAAAGTACTTGCGACGTAAATTTATACACGCTGGGCAACAGAGGAGAATGTGGTATTTGTTTTCAACAAATTCTATTTTGACGGCCAGTTCTTGTATAAACGCCAAGCTCCCACATTCAATTTAAGCATACCACATCAACTTTAGCACTATGGGCCTTCCGCCAGACGTGGAGAGCGGGAGTTGCAAAACCGGTCGCCACACCCTACGTACGACCCATGCATCTTTTCTTACTACATATCTTAGTAGCCTTGTGGTCGTCTAGAATTTGTTTCTAGCTGTCTTTGCTCCTGTTTCACGCTGTGTATTTTCCGTTTTACTGTTTTCCTTAAGACGTTTGTCTTCTCAGTAGTTATAACAATGCAACAGTTCATTTTTTTACGTTTTAAATATCATAGCTGCTTACATATAGATACAAGCACAGTATAAATTACAATAATAGAGTCATTCTCAAACACTTGCCAGGCAGATTTGGCGAGTCTGCTGATTGAAACTGTTACATCTTTCCCCTTCTGGAATCAACCTGTTGTCTGACAATCGCCCACCAATATGATAGTTTTGTAGCTTTGGGTTTTGAACCTTCAATTATCTAATTGGTCAAATATGATGTAAATAATTACAGAGATTGGTCAAACTAAACCAAATGATGCAATAGGTAAATTTCCAGTCACATGTTTTTTCGACACATTCTATCCTTGAACTTAGAGCCTCTTTCCTGTTATTCTCACACTATTTCATAAACAATTAATTTGCGTTTTAAATAAACTCATACCATAGCTAATATACTGACACTAGAGAATAATTTGCAAAGACACAAATATTGTTTAAGCCATCTTATTTCTCTATTCCTTGTCTATAAATTTAAAAACAATGTCACAACGACGATATTATTACATAACACTGACATATTATATTTTGATAGTTGTTATCAATAGATGAATTTAGGTAAATTTTATGTTTACGTACAGTTTTGAACGCAACTTATTCGAACTTTCCAGTTGGTCTTTGTTTAAATTGGTCTTGGATGCGGGTTTTAATTAGAGATAGACTCATTTAGTTTAAGGAATAAAGGTTATGCCAAAATTCAGGAAATCCAAGGTTATTCATTAGGCGTCTAATCCCCTCTCTCCCCAACCAATTAGTTTTTCCTTTCTCATTATCAGCACACACTATACTGTAAATACGCAAAAATTAATGAATTTGGAGAACGAATATTTTTTAACCTATTAACTATTCTTATTTTTCTAACAACTATCATTGTAAGCTAAACTGTGTATTAATAGAAAATGCATCCATGCTGCATAATAAAACATAAAACACAGTAATGATAAAATAAATAGTTTACTCAGACATTAAAACTGCTAAAAATAACACAATGAATATAGTATATACATGTTTAATAGAACTTTGCAAGGAATGCGAGAATGCCTTGTAAAATGTAATATAAAATTGTACACAACGATGAAATGGTGGTCATGTTATTATTTCTGGTACATTGCCGACTTATTAAAATGGACATTCTGGATGACCTACAAAACTGAAAAAAAAAAGTATATAAATAGATTGTTGGCCATGTACTAATATATCATTATGAATTAATATCAAACGTCTTGTATAGTCAACGTGTAGGGTACATTGTTGAATGTTTTGTGATATAAAACGTATACAGTCGAACTACGGCACATTACTCTGTTACAATGATTTTTCAGGGTACAGGTCTTCAAAATCACACCTAGTCACATTATAGCCACGTGCAATAAACGCTGCATGGCGTAAACCCGTCTTCATTATCCCAGTCAGTGCAGAAAAGTAGGACGTAAACCCCATTTCACTAGTACTAAAAAAACAATTCAGTTCAGTTACCTGTTTAAACTTGATTGGCACGCAATCAATACCGCGTGAACAAAACATAAAAAATCGCAGATTAGACAGGTAGATGTACTGCGACACGGTATTAAGGCGTATTGACCGCTAAAATTATAAATAGTAGGGTGGGATGTTATTACCTAACCATGAGGTACTTACTTATCGTTAAAAAATAATCTGTAGTCTGTATTAATTCCTTCAATTTGCTTCATTTCATCATCCGTCAATTTGAAGTCGAATATCTGAAACAATCACAACCATACATGATGTCAAACAGTAAGATAATTTATTGTGGTTTGCGGAGAGAACAAACGGCATAATTTGGGTGTATCCATGAATTTATGCGCAGGAAACTGGTTCTGTAAGATACAATTATTCTGCATCGTCATAAGACCAAACTGAATACTCTGGGTGAATCCATGAGGTGACGGCGAACCAAAGAATCTGGTGCTAGCTGTGTGGTTAATGTATCTCGTCCGTAGTCTTCAAACGACCAGGGATTTGAAATTGTTCTAATTTCTATGCAGTTTCATGTTTTTAATAACAATACATGACAGTTTCCGGTGAAAATATAATCTAAGCCAAAATACTTAATTTCTAACACTGCTGAATGTTATTATTATATATTAACCAATCAGCGTCAATCTTATAATTTCAATATGTCACAATACACAATCCACGTTATATTAAAACCTACAATTTAATTTGTCAAGAAGATTAAGTTCTATTGCACCGCGGAATAGTGTACAAAACATAAGGAAACGTAAATTAATATAAAATAAAAGTGTTCAAGTATCTTTATAGTGTGCACGACCGAATTATTCTGTGGAATTAATGAACGGCGACGAAACTCTAGTCTTTATGAAGCAATGATGAAATTTAAAACAGTACTTAGTTAATGATGAGCAGTCAGAGACATGGCACTAACTACCCCGGAGGGCGCCACACTTTAATGCAATGTCCTGACTAGTTCCAATCGGATAACTTAAATGTCATTTAAAGAATAATTTAACTTTATAGTGGGTTACCTCCATATTTTGCTTGATTCTGGCAGGGTTGGTACTCTTTGGTATAACAAGGATATTCCGTTGCGTCAAATTACGCAACAAAATCTGGAAAGATAAACAATAGCCCAGTATAAAAAGAAAAAGTACGATATTTCTTATGATCTAGAACAAAGATCTAAAAGTGATTAAAAGATCACAGTTAAACACAACGAAGAAGACGATAATTAAATGTTTGTTGTTTACGCACATACTGCACAGTATAATTTTTACGATGCCCAATACAAACTCAGACAATCAAATTGATATGCCATGTTGTGATGATTTTCAAGAGATAAATAGTTTATGTGTTGGAATATTTACAATGGATTTTATTTTACCACAATTAAATAGTTTGTTCATACGGAACGAGCACCCTCTATTTTTTTGTATGGCTCAACGAATAGGCTATAGGAAATATATATTTAATGAAATGCCCCGCGGTAGTATTGCCGACTTAAGTATTCCTAAAAAGAAAAACAATGCTTGAGACATAAACTCTGTAGTTAAAAATTTCACTGATTTCAATCTCCGCCGTAACATGACATGTATTTACGATACAACAGATTTTTAAGAAGTAATTTGGCGGCCCCTTTAATATTGGGGTCCCTGGCTGTATCGCAGTCAGCCAGATCTTTAATCCGACCCAGGTACTAGAATAGTAAAAGTAGTACCTGTCCAGCTGATTTCTTGTATTTATCCGCCAACTTCTTAATTACAGGATCATCCATTAAAACGGGGTCAGTATCTTTTTTACTGTAAACATAATAGCATAAATATAATGATTAAGGTAATTGTAAAGGAAAATGAATAAAATACACATTTCAACAAATGTATATCAATATAGAATATAGCGAAGGATTTGCTCACGCACGGGGTCACGGGCAACAATTCCATCTTGGTTTCATTCTTGGGATCCTTTCCAATAGACATGTCCAACAAACCATATCACTATATAAAACTTAAATATACATTCCCGGTTACAAATTGGGTGATTTGATGATATATTTTGACTAAAAACATATTCAAACTAATTAATTTATCATAATTTTGCTTCAAACCCTTCTCAAAACATTGCAATTGTCAGGGAGTGCCCTGCTATAAAAATTCGATCAAACCAGGCCATGTTTACGTCACGTGACTTACCTCTCTTGGAAGTCAGAAGAGAATTCATTGCATACATAAGACGAAGTTGTCTTTTATCGCTTACTATTTATTACAAATATCGAATCCTAATTAAATACTCGGGTTCTCCACTACCCGCGTCTTTTTCCGTAATTTTTATCCCCGAAAATGTTGTACGTCTAACTCTTCATAAAGTTTATCAACTTGTACATCAATTGCTCAATGTTCGTGTGTGACCTTTGACATCACGCGTGCAGACACTCCTAATCGTGGGGCTGTTGATTAGGGAAACCCTAATGTCCTGTATGTGCTCAATGAGTGTTTTTCGGGGAACCCATTATTTTTCTAGTAAGATTGGATATTTCTACTTTCCATATTACCACAATTGCCATATTTTTATTGGACATAACCACCCGATAAATATATTTCTGGGAACGTAGCTTTAATATCATAATTATCAACGGTAGTACATTCTTTTTAAATATTATATCAGAATTGTAGGAGACGCGGTTACTTAGTGGATAAGACACTAGCTCGCGAAGCAGGAGGTCTCGGGTTCGCTTCCTGTGTAGACCGACAAATTTCCTCGGCAATTTCAGCATGGTTTTCCCGTGCCAGTGGTGTCTTATGAGACCGAGATACTGTGAACACACTGGCATGCACGTAAGAGAACCCCCGAGAGTTGGAATTCGATATAAGAGTAGGCATGTCACCAAAATTGTATATAGCTTCCAATGTACTTACAACGCTGGTGCTCTTCCGGGGGAACCGAGGGATCCATAAGATGTAATAAATATGCCTCTTTGCTGACAAAAGCGGTGCATGTTCGCTTGGTTGAAATAGGCATGACATTCTACCTGTAAAAATAGTGAAAATAATATGCAATAGGAAGCTCTTGAGTAAAATTTATTTTCAGTATATTTTGATCTGTCCCGTTATTTACATTCAAGGACTGAATTCTCAACCTCAGGTATCACGATTTGGACAATCTTTATCGATACCACTTTCAATTCGTCTGGACTATTCAACCGCTGTAGGGGCGTTAGTAAAAATGCTGTCATTTGCTGTAGCCAATCAGCGCCACTGTACCAAGACTTTCATCACAGAAAGAATTAAAGGAGACACACCAGGGGACTAAAACTGCTTGATCCAGTCTTGAAGGCTTTTATAATCCTAGTCTAAAGTAACTACCCCAAGTTGCATAAAACATTTTTAAAGAATCATCAGGTGGTGATATCAGGTTGAGTTAATTGGCTCTCAATATTAACGCTTCTCTTTTGCAAATTATTATAAAAATAAAGACGTTTGAGGTATATCTGGATAAAACATCTTTCCTTTTTGATGTAAATGGGAACATAAAATAGTACATGGAGGCGAAAAATAAGTAAAAGTCGCAATGTTGTCCGGATAATTTTGTATTAGAACGTCCGATGTAAATAAAGCACGTGTTATCGACGGCATATGATGTGATATCACACGTAGAACTATGTGTGTGGCCTTAAAGCTCAGTCATCTTGTACAGATTTAAACGAATGCTCCCGCATTCGATTGATCTATAGCACGTAACTTGTGCCTAGATAAACAAGTCAATAGTTCAGAAATGACATATTCCCAGTTATTGTTGCAATTTAACGAGTAAACACAATCTATTTCTGTTGAATACTTACCTGATTAGTAACAGGTTTAATGGTTGCAACTTTAAAAATTCTATCGATTTGGTCACACGTAAAGTTAGATACACCGATATTCTTAGCTTTACCTAGCTTGACAGCTTTCTCCATTCCCTATAATAGACAATTAATGTAAACTAACAAATTATGTAAGAGCTAAATCTGCATATTGCAGATCATTATTTGGGCCTTACTTAAATGTTATATAAATTATAAATTAGACATTAATTAACTTGATAAGACTCCGATTTTAAGTAGATTAGAACGTTTCAGCCATTTAATGATTTAATTTATAAACGCAGAAGCGACGCTAAGACTCGAATGACCAGTACGGTGTTTACGATCAATGCACACATCTACATTGGTAACTTCGCTTAAAATAAAATAATTTCAATATATTCATTTTGCATTATCTATTTTTGAAATCTTATATCGAGAACGGCCAGATCTTTATCTAAATCTTATAATAATGCCCCTAAAAACTAGATAAAATTGGGGTGTTGAATCGGTTGATTTGATGTGTTACTTTGAGTAGTGATGTTATTTATATGATTAAACTGTCGTTTCGAAATATTTGGCGGGAATCAGCTTATTTACCAATTTTACTTTCATTTACATTCAACACACAATCACCTATATAAAAACACTGGTGTTATGTATGAACCTAATATTTTAATTTCAAACTTAATCAAATCGGCATTTTTAATTCTTAAACAAGTCGTTTTGATATGAAGGCGGGACATTAACATTGCACTTGATTTTCGATTCAATAAACACGCCGTGACATTCAAAGCTTGTGCCCTTATTTGATTTCACTCATGTGATAACATGTGTATGTATATTTATGCAATTTTACTAAAACAAACAATAATTCGTGCAGACTTTACAGCCTCATTATTTGTACCTTCGTCCATGTTTCTTCAGGTGGCAAGTTGAGAAATGCTGGTTTTCCATCGGCTCGTAAAGGAATGAAACCATTCCCTGTTTCCTGAAATATAAGTAAAGTTGGATTATACTAAACTGGCAATCTGATTAAAATACACATCTATATTTCGTTTCGTTTTTTATACTTTCTATGGCCTACACTACATGAAGATCTGACCAGTTGTACTGAAAGGTCGCGTCAGGGGTCGTACGAGCGGCTTTTGACCCTATGACGTCAGACATTGAATATTCAATCAGCGTTGACGTTTCTAGTGGTCGCCGTAACAGACGGTTTCATTGGCTAATACCTCACGCCATCCATGTTATATAACAACTCTTCCAGATCCTAGTTTAGGGCAGACAAATAAAAATAAATTTTGAACTGTAAAAAACGAAACGAAATAGGATCTGTGTTGCAATCAGATTGACTAAACTGGCAATATGTGTTATAAGGCCACCAAAGGATAAATATACAAAATCAATAACTGTGCCCAGATGCCTAGAAAAACTCCAAAGTCGAGGTTCACTTGTAACCATTTTAGCGTGCACGGATAAAGAATCATCGAACGTTGAAACAAAAAAAAAAAAGAAGCTAACGGCTCATTCTTGCCAAAGATTCCATCTCTAGATTATCACACGTGAGAATATATAGTTAAAGTAATATTCATATTTTAGTTCCAAAATGCTAAAGGAATTGTAAAGGCAACCTCTATGTTTCATTACCATACATCTATTGTTAAGCTGCAATTTGAAATGCAAACAAATTTCTGTGTTACTAAATTCATATTAAGTCTGAATTGATGATTATCTATGAGGTAACATGGGAACGAAAACTAATTATAACGGAGTCTTCCTCTTAAGCATTCGAATGATTTACATGGTTTACCTAACCCCGTATAATATAGGTTTTATAGATGTCGCTTACACTCTACATCGGATATAAAATATTGGTAAGAATTCCATCGTGTTGGTCTAAAATAAACACAAATCTTTACTTAAATCCATGCTTGACTTACCTCAAAGGCACAGGGAGTATGCATAAGAAACAGGTCAACGTAATCTAGTTTCAGTTTAGATAGAGATAGATTTAAACACTCCAGTACCCTATCTGGTTGATGGTAGGTCAACCATAGCTAGAAACAAATAATAACATTTGGACTATAAAGTGACATTTCCAAAATGGATCACACTGACATATTAAGCCTAAAATCATTGATTCATGACTTTCCACATTGAAAAAGCATATTAAAATGTAATCATATAACATTAATCTGTAACATTGATTCAGTGGATTTAAGATTTTGATTCTTTCAACATCTGCAGTAGAATTAATCAATATCAATCGACCACTAATCACGATTGTAAATAAATATAACCTATTGCTAAATCCGATCCAAATATACACAATTTAAATCTATATTTAATTCACCTTAGTTGTGACAAAGAAATCTGATCTTTTAAGTTTTCCTGCCTTCATATATTCCTGTAACACTTCTCCAATATCAGCTTCGTTTCCATATGCATAGGCCGTGTCAATATGGCGGTAGCCTGCATCTAGGGCAGCGCGTACAGCATTCTTGCATTCGTCTGTCGTAGCCTGGAACGGTGATAATTCATTTTTAATTATAGTATTTAGTGAATAAAAACGGAGAAAGACCCCTGCAAACCTTTATTCTAGCCATAAGTATTATATGGAGGTTTATGATACTGAAGAACCACAAGTCATCCCGCCGTAATGGCTACACTGCTACATATACCCACTGTGTCCTGTGAGATCTGGGAATTCGCCTTTAAATGAAATCCGTTGTAAAAATCAGTGTATGGATATAAAAACGTTAATAGAAGACGGTGACTATAAGAACCGCGCTCGATTACAGTTAGCATCTCATGGTTTAATTTGCCGGTTGGATATTATGACCTATTTCTTAAACTTTGATTTGCTGTACATATAATTTGTTTTCATAATTTCAATTATGTTTAAGCATTTTAAAGCGTATAGCTCTCTACGGTGTATGTAACTTGACATTAATATGTAAATTAGTCAAACAGCCAACGCCACTCGAGCCTTGAGAGCCCCGTCAAAATGTCTATCATTTTCAGATTTTACTGTCTGTATATTACTCTCTCTAATGACTGATAATATTTAAAAAGTTTAAATGAAATTTATATCAACTTTTGAACAATAAAATTATTTTCTTGCAGTTGGGTATACTATTCAAGTAAGGCAAATAAAGCCACGAGATCCAAAGTAATATGCCTTTGAGGTAAAACTTAATGTCGACGATGTGGTATATGAAATCGCAAACACATCGCGATCTATTAAAAAGTTTATCTGTTCAATTAAAAACAAAGTTATGCAATGCAGTGGTAAATCTTTTTGATCACTACTATATTGTCTTCCAAATTTGCAAGTCATCTGCTTATTGACCATATCACTGTAAACTTTCAGAGATTGTCCTACTTGTATTAATAGGCAACAGTCATATTGAACAGTATCTTTTTATTATTACACTATGCATATTTATTTTAAGAACATACCAAGATCTTTATTTTCAACGCAATGCTCTACTTTTTTTTATAACCTATGCAGGTGTAGTCGTAAGTACGATTTATTCATACGATATACATGTATAGCGCCTATAACGGTCGATAACTAGGACGTTTTATTAAGAGTCAGACTAAAGTCCAAGTTTGTTTTTTTATTATATGTTGTTATAAACAGTGGCAATCTTACCTTGGAGTATACGGGGCAACGGGGTTTGTTTTGGTGAATATTCATTTTACTTCTTTATTGCAGTGTTTGTAAACACACATGAGAATTAAAATTGACGATTTTATTTTGACTTAATAGTGGCAATCTTTCAATATTTATCGTCAATAATGTAATATAACGATGAATTGTTCAACCCTCGGCAATTTAGCCAAAAATAAAACTAAACTTACATGTATTAAACAAACCGACCTCATCTTTAAGTTTAGGACAGAAATAAGAATCGTACAAATCGTATCACTCAAGTAATCAAAATAGTATATTAGTCCAACAGCCAAAAGACGATTAGTTGTTTTAAAGGTACTGAAATGATAATGGGGTTTAACATCCGTATCCTTTTCGTCACCAACTGGGGTAATGAAGACAGACGTACGCCATTCAATATTTCAGGTAATTTTTTAAATATAAGATGTTCGTTTTAACTTCTGAAAATCTCGTCCAGTCGAAACCACTGTATCTTTAAAAATTGTTAAAAATGTGAAGTTTGGTGGTCATATTAGATAATGCATTGTAGGTTAAGTTTCAGTTTAGGGAAGGTTACACTCTTATGCAGTAGGCCTGCGCCATTAGCTTAAATCAATACGTGTAGAATGTTATTATCGCACATTGATCCTTGAGATTTACTTTTGACGTCTTGAATTACTACAGGCCCCACCTCGAAAAGTAGTTTAAAACCCTTTAATTTATACAATGAAAACACCACTGTCATTGAGGGGTTGTTATGGTTATGTGAATCCCAACTCGGTCCCAGAAGTATCTTCGGGATTTTCCCAGTCTGGTCCCAACTCGAGTGTTGCTGGTCGGATGGGAGACCCCATATCTACTGCATGTAAAATAACCCTTGAAAATTAGGCAGAAATCCCCACCCCCTCACAACTGGCTAAAGTTCTCCCACACACATTGCAAACATAACCGTGGAAATAAAAATAACCAGTGTCCTGTTTCTGGAATTTCCTTACTGTTCTATTACCATGAGCGAAGAACCCAGGGCAAGGTAGCCAAAAACATTGAGTCATTTTTTTTTGTTGTTGTTAAGACGATTGATTGGCTGTTTCGGATTCAGGTCAGCCACCTAAGGTCTATAGGCTATATTGGACCACATTGACGTTTCTGTCTAGCAGGAAAACGCGTTTGCAGCAGTTAAATTTTCAAAATTTTCTCCCGACGGTCCGGTCTCCGTGGACTGTATACGATTGATTGGTTGATTGGATTTCGAGTCAGCCGTCTTAATTAGGCTATATTCACAGGAGTCTGACCTTCTATCCGTAGATATATGCATACACAATGTCCAACCAGACAATATATAATAAAAAAGAACAGGAATGCAATGCCTGTTTGAAGACTCGATTTTACCTGCTCTCGCAAAATCGAGTCTTCAACAGGCATTGCATTCCTGTTCTTTTTTTTATTATATATTGTCTGGTTGGACATGGTGTATGCATATATACGGATAGAAGGTCAGACTCCTGTGCTATATTAGACCACTTTGAAGTTGCTGTATTCACGGGCTGGAATAGCAGGAAAACGGAGGTTAAATTTTCCAAACATTTCTTTAGGCAATCTTAAACGGTAAGCTCCACTCCTCCGCTCTCACAGAAGACCGGCGCCACCGTCTGTAACTCGAAATTTTTTCCAGCATTCGGGTTCTGCTCCCCTGTCATCGAGCCCGTATGCCTATGACCCCACTACACCACAGAATACAGGCCACTAAAATATTATAATCTACAGGTATCTGCTTAAAGCTCTTGAAAAAGAAAATATAATTACCGCCAAAGTTCCAAGTCCAAGGATTGGGAATTTGTTCCCATTATTAAAGGTTACCATTGGAATCGCCATCTTAGCATTGGTGACTGTATACAGGGACTCACTATAAAAATAGAGAAGATCAGGAATTCGTTGACAATTAAACTGTTACTTATTGACTAAACTTATATAGACGAAACAGGTTTAACAGAAAACAAAACCCAGAAATGAAATGGAGTTTAATGTCCACTCGACAAAAACGAGGTCATTTCGGGACTGACATATGGTTCATTTTTATTTCAATAATTCGCTTGCGCGTATGGGTCTTTAGCAGTGGCTGGAAACCCGAGGATACGGAGAAACCCACGAGGTTGGACAGGGCGACCCTATTCCTTGTGGGAACCATGCCGGTTGTGTCAATAATTCGCTTGCGCGTAGGGGTCTTTAGCAGTGGGAGGAAACCGGAGGAGCCGGAGAAAACCCACGAGGTTTTGACAGGCGACCATACTCCTTGTCAATTACAACCGGGGAATGGAAACCACATCAGTTGACTCAATGACAGAAATGAAATGAAATGGAGTTTAACGTTCTATTATTCTGCACCAAACCCGATAATGAAAATGGACATACACCGTGCATTTTGGTCAATTTAAATTGTCACAGGTGTACGCAGCATGACCTCAGCTTTTTGTACTATCCGAACGACTAGACACTGTTCCTTGCCAGGTCCTGACATGGGGAAACCACGTAGGACCTCATGGTTAGTAAACCAGCGCTTTACTCACTGGGCCACCGTGACTCCCAACAAAACCCAGACGACGCAAACAATGCAAGGATATAATGGAAGGAATGAATGATATGCTGTGGGTTTAAACACAGATGGAACGTCGCAGTGTCTTTGGAGAAAAGAAGCGGACGTGAGTAATAGCTGTCTCGTCTCACGTGTGTACATATAGCTGACGGGCGCCTCATATTTTGTCTAATGATGTTAAATGTTCATATGAGCTGCTGACACATGTAGCATCCATAGATATAAGGTTTAAAAACGTCCATATTATTATGTCATTCAGTATATTAACTATATTAACCATACAAGGGCTACGAAAACAAAACGTGGTATCCATATCCACCCCACCCCACTCGCTTCCCCTTTACCTGCTTTAATCAAAGGTAAAAAAAAAGTACTGACCTGTTTCGTGTGCGCTGTACTGTGATATAAATCGAGGAAATATCCCTACTATTTATATCCCCGAGTAAATTCAATAGTTTGTCATGACTCGGCGTAATTTTGACCTACTTATCGTTGTTTAGTCTCAATGGACATAATAGTAGTTTCCAGACTGCGGATTGCGGTACAGCCATTGTCGTGTTTAAGTGATGGAATTAATATGGACTTGCATAATATGGAATCTATACTATGTACTAGCTCAGGGTTGGTCATTAGTAATTTTTTGGTTTAATTGTTCGCAAACCAGGAGGTTGTAAAATAATATGTTCCCTATTCCAGCTTAGGACTATAGTTAAGAAAAAACTATAGTTAAGAAAAAAAACGGTGACACCTTTATTAGGATACGCCTGGCTAATTTCAAATATTTCATAGAGTTTATTATTAAGTTATTGCTTGTAATTTCAAATTAACCAATATAGAGTTTCTAATAAACTAATAATGATTCTATAGAAAATATAAAAGGGGAATTAGGAAAAATGTCGATATTTGGTCGATTCAAACATATTTAGACATAACAATAGCTTACTTTACATTTAGAGTATGGGTTTTACTGAAACGAAATGGGTTTAATTTAAGGTCTCATCACCATAATACTGTTCAATTATACGGTTAGTTTTGCACTGCCAGAAAAGGAGACAGCCTCTCCGCATACCCCCCCCCCCCCCCCACACACACACACACACACCCTGGGCATTCTATTCGAGTTGTGAAGAAAACGACACCAGTCACCGTACTGTTTGCATCGGGAAAGATGATGTAATAATGGATCTTCTAGAATAATTACTCATCGTAACCAAGGACGTGTTTTTTGCTTAAAGATACATTGTGTAAGATTTAGATAAAGAGCTGGCCATTCTTTCTATAATAGTTCGAAAATAAATAATGTAAAATGGATAATATGAAGATATTAGCCTTTGAAGGTTTGACAGACGTGTACAATATTTTCAACCACCGTACTGGTTGTTCGAAGCTAAGTCTCGCTCCTCCATTTTTAGCTTAAATCAAACTATGTCTGTACTGTTCTAATCTACTTAATATCGGAGAAGTCCGATGTCACCGAGAGTTGATTATGGCCTGGATAAGTTAATTAATGTCTAATTAATAATTTCGAAAACATTTCTGGCCTTAAGAAAGACCTGCAATAGGCAAGAGTAGCTCTTACATAATGTATGTTTAATGGCCATTTTACCTCCACGCTTCGAAGAACGTCACATTTTTCAAGGTTTGTAAAGACCGTCGATTGATTCATTTTCTGAACAATTCATTTGGGCGTTTCTACCGGGGCGAGATATTTTGTATCCAAGTCATAAAATAACTAACCGATAATATAAGTATATAATTCAGGGCCAAGGCTCTTTTGGGAGATCACTTTTTAAAACCTTTTTAACATAATTATCTATATTATACTTCATCAACAGACAGGGAGGGGGTGCGAATGGTTGAGTGCGTGTGCATTAGATCATAAGGTTTGTCAAAGAGTGACATTGCGTGGTTTCGATTCCACGCTTGTACGTGAAAAAGGAGTAGGGTCGTCTGTCCAACCTCGTGGGTTTTCTTGGGGTCCCTGGTATCCACAGCTAAAGATTCCTACGCTCAAGCCAATTATACCTGATACATTTACACCTACGGCTAGATCGCGCATCGGTCATTGGCGTGAGTAACTAGAAGGAACTGATGATTGTTCAACCATCCGTTAAATAAGGAACGAATGTAGACGCAATCTTCAGTTTTGCAAATAAAAAGTCCCGAATAGAATCTCCAATCAAATGTCTATCAATTTTTTTTAATAATTTGACTGTTTACATCGGTTGAAAATGTATCTATTAACAGTTACTTACACCCCACGTCTACTCGTTGCCACTGGCAACCTTTGATAAAACTGTCCTGTTTAATTGCAGTACATGCAGAAAAGTATCCGGGTATCAGAAATGTTCAGAAAGAGTACTGTTCATTTCTGATACACGGATACTTTTATACCGTTTTAGATACCTATCAAGCAATAAGTAGCGGACGTTTAGTCCGACCCAGATCGCAATTGATAACGACGGCTCTGTACAATGTCCACGAAACGACTAGTCAAAATCATAGTAACAAAACAAAATGGGGGGAACTACATGGCAGTTCAAAAACATATACAATGACATTAAATTAACATAACAACATATTACAAAAATCAATTATTATACATATCAATTGGAATCTATTTCATAATTTGGTTTGATTTATATTAATATGCAAAATATATAAATTAGAATTTTGAATAATTATTTTAATTAATTGTGATGATAGAAGGCGCAGTTCTCTTGCTTGACACTTCACAGGCATTGAAAATAAGCAGGATGAAAAAAAAACGCCTAGAAAGTCATAAACTTTATTACAAATAAATTTCAACGGAAGAACCATCCGCCGATGCATACTTTCACCAGGAATGACCCACGTTTCGCATTTCCTTTACACTACATTTAATAATATCGCAGTCCTCTACGCCATAGACAAGTTTGTTTTGACGATGTGGTCTGAACAAACACGTGAATGTTTTACGCTCAGAGTATCATAGCAAGACGCACGTGTAAATACTACTCAGGTCGTCTCTCCACTGCGAAATCATTCTACCATGAAATGTAACGTGAGGCTCATAAAGGGATAAATAATGAAAGAGCAGAAAGTATTTGTCACTTTTCGGTTGAAACGACTCGATAATAAATACTATTTTTCACATTTTGCTTCACAATACTCGATAAAAATGTGATGTAAGTAACTTATTAGCACCTTTCCTCGGTGTATCGGTGAATATCAGGGCAGTTTTGGTCGGGAGCCGCCTGAACACCTCGGAAAGGGTGCTAATAACTACTACTTAATACCTAGGATATTCACACTGCTAGTCACCTTCGGTATCCCCAGTGGCATCGCTCCGTTCTACTCCAGCTACCCCTGGGTCCATTCATGAATTCAAATTATCTGTCTTTCATAATTTCATTGGGCACTTAAGGTTAATTCTAAGAACCAATCCGCTCGATTAAGAGAAATTTTGCAAGAAATTTAATATCAAAGAAGTGGCATGCACACAAAACGATTTCCTAAAATATTTTGACAAAGTTTACTACAACGATTCGGAGATCTTATTTGCAACAAAATGCGAGTTACTTTTCTTCACCCACTTGCTTTCTACTTATGGAAATTTCTGATTGGTCGATACAAATAACATAATTATAAACAGTTTTCTTTTGACTATATTATGCCCCCCGCCCCCGTTAATGGACCCAGGGGTGTTATTGGAGTATAACCGAACGATACCTCTTGGGATACTGATGATACATTGCTAGACAAATTGTCTATAAAAAAAAATTCTATTTCCTCACACATTTTCAGTGCGTCTATTTATTTAATGGCCCAGCAGATGCTTTCTCAATAAAATTTAAATGAGATTGTTTGAACAAAGTTTTAAAATGCCCGCAAGTCACAAATGTTTTTGATCACCGACAGAACGTTCCTCAGTCTTTTTTTCTATCGGTAAGCTACGGCATGTAGAACACTACTGATTTGTTACTATTGACAATGGAGAGAATGAAGGCTTACCTCCGTTAAACCCCTCGCAACACTTTAGTGTCCGCAATTTGAGTTATGGCTAAAAACTAAAGGATTTTTCTTCATTTAGTTTGAGTCATGCTATATGCCTGTGCCTAGTCTACGGTTGTATGCCGTTTGACTTACCATGTTAATATATTTTGCAAAATTCAGATATTTTTCATGTATATACTCTTCAAAAAAGTAGGGGATATTGAAATGCAAATACCTATGCAGGTTGTGATATGATAAATAGTCATGGACACTTGACATGCTTTGAGAGTATGTTCACAGATGAAGAACTTATCGCCCCAACAGAACCACTGAGCTGCACATGTGACACACAATAGCGTCATACACGTGGGAGGGGTTCATTGTCTAATTTGACACTTCAAGGAAGGGTTGATGAAAACTGCCGCATGCTGGTTTATCCTATCCATGTTTGCTTTCCTATCGGTTCTTGCATAAGATTTACTGTTTAGCGTATCTTTGCTTTAGTGTTTTACTTTTAATTTGCAATGAGACGTCTTCAACGTGATGAACGTCCACGTGCTATTGGTATGCTTCAAATGGGTTCTACACAGCGAGCAGTATTCAACATGCTTAATGTGTCATCAGCAGACTGTGAAACCGGTGCCAACAAACGCACAATGTTGATGATAGACTTCGTTCAGGTCGTCATTGAGCCACTACACAAGCCCAGTATCGATACATTCGTACACATGTCCTGAGAAATCGAGGACAAACGGCCAATCAGCTTTCTGTAAACTTGTACCAAGTTACAGGAATTCGAGTTACACCCAAACGATTAGAAATCGGGTACATGCAGCCCATTTGCATGCGCGACGACCGCGTGCTGTGCCTCCATTAACTCGCCAGCACATGGCACACAGCCGGCAAAGGAGTAGGCAGCGTAGAAATTTGGGTAATCGTCGATGTTCTCAGATGAGTCCAGATTTACTCTGGATTTCACCGATAGGCGTGCTCGCGTTTGGAGGCGTGTAAATGAGCGTCATGCTAACGTTAACCTCAGGCAGCATGACAGATTCGGGCGTGGGTCTCTTATGGTGTGGGGAGGAATCACCATGACTGGCAGAACGGACTTGCATATTGTTCAAGGAAGGGTCACTGGTGTGTACTACCGTGACCACATACTGTCACCGATAGTTCTGCCCTTTGCTCAACGTGCAGGTAGACGTTTCATCTTTCAAGATGATAATGCCCTTGCCCATCGCGCTCGTGTCATGAATAACTACCTCCAGCGTCACCATATTGTCCATATGCCTTGGCCAGCCATGAGCCCTGACCTTTCCACTATAGACATGTCTGGGACATGATCGGGAGACATGTTCGTCGACGTCAACATCAACCGACAACACTGCAAGGATTCCCGTGGCACTGCAAGAGGAGTGGGTCAGATTTCCCCAAATCGTGATTGGACGGTTAGAGAGGAGCATGCCACGACGAATTGTTGAATGAATAGT